AGGAATCCCCATTTTTCCACCTTGTGAGGGAAAAGGTGCCTCCTGCTCCCCAAAACAAGAAGGGAACTGCAGGATACCTCTCTGCAGAGCACCCTTTTTGGCATCTTGGGGGGCTGCAGGACACCTCCCTCCCCAGCACTACTCAGGTGTTCTTCCACTATCAGTGAGTTTTAGCTTCTATGAAAGCCTTGGTTCATCCAAGCTGCTCTGGTCCTGCAGAATCTCCTCCTTGGGAGTCACCACTGACAGCAGACCCCAACTTCTGTCATCCACCTCTTCTCCTGAGCTGATCCAACCAGTCAGTTGTCCTCTAACACCCATGAAACTCCATTAATGAAACACACCAATATCAAGCAAGGTGCAGTCTTGTCCTGGCTCTGTGGTTGCTCGTAATTCTCTATGCTTTAATGAGCAGATGAGTAAAATTTGACAGCCTTCAACACAAAAAATCCCCTATCCCTTTTATGAAACATGAATCATCAACAACTTTGCAGAAATGGCAACAAGAAGTTGCTAGGTTTGGTTCCAAACAGTTTATTTGAGGTGACATCAGGACAGTCCAATGCTGAGAGCAGTAACACCACCAGTGCATCAAATTCCAGATAACACAGGCAGTCATAAAGCCCAGGCAGGAATTTCACCCACAGCCTCAGCTCTAACTGCAGCAAGTGGAAAATCACCACTGAGCAGCTCTTCGTTCCACCAGCCCCAAGATAAAACATCGTTGCTCCACTGGAGACATATTTTCAGTGGGAGCTGGATCAAGCTTTATTTGCTTAATAACCAACAACTCATAGGAAGATTCATGGCAGAATAGGGCCCCGTATGAGCTCAGCGTGTGCATGCCCTCCTGACCCACAACAGCCAAAACCTTAATTTCACTCTCTGACAACAAAGCCTCAAAACTATTCCTTAAATACACAACTTTTGCAGGTGGCTGTGCAAGGAGCCCCTGCCCGCCACGGACGGGGGGCCGCGGCCGTAAAACCTGAAACATGAAGCTGTGCCTGCAGATTAAAAAAGTTTGTAAAACGTGTAAGGTGGGATCAGATCTGGTGGAACCTACAGCAGTAGGTTCACTCCTGTAAGTTTATATCACTGACATCGGGCACGTTGTTAAGAGTGTGATACTACTGGTTTTGCTCCCTTTGCAGCGGCACGTACTTGAGTAGAAGGCAAGGAAACAAAACACACTCACAAAAACCCACCAAAAACCTATTTCAGCACGCACAGCAATCTAAAACCTCAGTAAGGCAATCTTGAGTCACTCTAAGTTTTCCATGGATAAACCAAGGGGACTCTTCAGGAGCTGCTTTGCTGGGAGGAAAGAGATCTGGAAGCCCAGGGCAGTTTCAGAGCCCTACGTGTCTGTATCACTGTCAGAACTCTGCAAGCAATAAGCAAGATAAAAACAATATTCAGGGGTTTTAACTTCAACAGCTACCGATAACCTTGCTAAAAATAAAAAAGTTTACAAAAAATGAATTTGTAGTTTGAAGGTGAGCGTGATCTCAGCCTGGGATGTGTGACAGCCCCTGTCATGCCACTGCTTAATTTGCAACTGCACTTTCATTAACATACATCTTTAAAAATAACACTTTTGCTGGGCTTACAGCACTGCCAGAAAGCCTAATAGAGCCAATCATTCTGAAGCCATTAAAAAGTTGAACTAATAGATATTTAACTATAACAGAGAGAAGTCATCCAAGTTAGCAGAAACTACACTAGAATCCTAAACTGACTCTGAGCTGAAAAAACACATTCCAGGGCAAGAACAGTGACAAGACTCTGCAGCTCTGCACATACTGTAGCCTCTTTGGGGAAAAGAAGAAAACTGAGTGCCCTGTTTGTGGAATTTCATTATTGATAAACACCTAAAATTACCTATGTTCAGGTTAGATTGGGTATGACAGGAGATAATAGTAAGACAGCAAAAAGAAATCCTAGAGCGACTTCATTTGAAATTTAAAAAAAAAAATAAGTAAAAAAATGCAGCTTTTAAGCCCTACTCCAGCTGCAATCAAATGAAACATGAGTTGCATCCAGCGTGCATGTTTTGACTGCATCCCACCATTATCGAGCTGTTCATCTCAGCAAAGCTCATTTATACAGTCATAAGAAAGAGCCCAGGCCTTTTGTAAAGTTGATCCTAAGTGATGAAACCTAACCTCAGCTGTGAGTCAGGGGGTGGGGTGGTATGTCTCTGAAAAAACCCTAAGAGAGAAAATGACAAAAAAATGTTTTTCTTTCCCTCTTTTTGTTAAATACAACAGGTAGAACATGGCAGAGAGACCAGATTACACACTGCCCTGAGTTCATCTCAATCCTGCCTCGAGCAGTCTGGGAACCATACCTGTCTGTCAGTCAAGCTTGAATTTAGTAGTATAAACTTGGGGGCAGCATGAGGCTGGGAGCGCTGGCAGGATCTTTTACCATCTCAGGTAGAGCCCAATGTTTGCTTGTGAATTTTACAGACGAGTTGAAGCAATTAGAGGTGAACAATTACTGCTGATCGAGTGTCTGTGGCTCAGGAGCGAGTGGTGTCCCCGCACTGGGGATGCTCCCCGTGCAACCAGGGCTGCTGAGGTGCTTTGTGTCCCTGGGGGAGGCAGGAGGAACTGGGGTGTCCCCCCATGCCTGCAGCCAGCACTGACTGTGGCTCCAGCTGAGCTGGGGTCTCCTGTACCAGCTGGGCTGCATCATCTCTGCCCTCCAGCTCCAGCTCCAACCACTGACACACATCCTCATCTTATTTTTATTTTCATTTTCCCTTTTCATTCCCTCCTTTTCCTTTTTTTTCCCCCCTTTTTTTTTCCAGGAGCTACCAAGGCTGAGTGACCCCAGGTAGCCCCACACAGTCTGTATGTGCACACTCAGCCCTGACTTGAATTTGTCACTCCTCGTACACGCACACGTTTGGCCATGTAACGTCCATTTCCCAGTTTGCCTTCCCATTATATTTTATATTACCTCTGGTGAGCTTGTGCCAGAAGAAAGCAGAAGGAGGAGCTGTTAGAAAGACTTTCTTGCTTTAAGATTCGAGAGCACATTTTTAGCATTAACTTTTTAGGCTCTGATCATAAAACGTTGGGAGTACGCGGATGATTTTGTGGGTAAATGTGCAGTGTTTCCAGAGGGCCAAATGAACAACAATCTCTTGCTGACAGCACCCAGATCACAACATGCTACTTGAAAGACAACCAAATCTTAATTTGCAAATCTCAGCAACAAAACGCTATAAAAATATGGAATTATGAACAGCACGATACTGTGCAAAATAAATAACAAGTCTCCAGTGAATGAAGGGAATTATTGGCAGCAGTACAGCCACCATTACCAAATGTCAGAAATGTAAACACTAAAGAAAGAGAAAGTTAAAAGTGCCATAACTTTCCTTCCAAAAACGTCAAAGCGTGTGTGCGTTCAGGGGGAGATGCTGATGGCTCAGCCTCGCCTGCACTTTCAGCTGCAGATCCCCAACACCGACCCATAGACTGAGAGTGGCTTTGACCCATGCATGTGATCTCACTTCTGATCTGTCCTACCTACACCAGCTCCTGCTCAATGTAAAATACCTGAATCTGCTGTTTCAATCAATCTACATAGTTTCCTTTTCCTATCACTGTTCCATAAATGCTCTGCATGGAGAGAAATTGTCGTTTTTCAGCACAAAGCGTATTTCAGCTTGGAAAATGTAACTGCTTTTACTAATAACCTTTATGGTTACTTTAGTTAAACCAGCTGCTGTATAAAAAAAGAAATTATCTCTTGGTCCGCTGGTTCGTTCTAGGCTACATGTGCTCAGGGCTGAAGTGCAAAAGTTGGAAATGAAAAAGATCTTTTCTCATAGTTTCTGAGAAAGTTATTTAACCCAGTTTTAATCAGCTATCTCGCATGAGTGAAATACGTAGCACTGGGCTGGAAATAGCAGGCTCCCTCACATTCATTTCCTATACGTAAGGAATTTGATAAGAAAGAATGATTTCTAATTGAAGCTTTGTGTCTAGTTGTGATTCTTCTTTCAATACTGTCAAGGCAATTAAATCAGCTAAAGATAATCTTTTAACATTCACCTGATGCAGTTAATTAAGTGGTGAAAAATGAAACACAGATTAAATAAGTCAAATCCTACGTTGCAGGTAGCGAAGTTTAAATTTGAAACAAGAATCCACAATCAGTTGTTGCTTTGCTGTTTTAGACATTTTACTCTAAAGAAGCAAAGCTTCCTCAGCCTAACTTCGCCCATTAAAATATTTCATAATGGCCTCTGTTATCCACAGACAAAAGCAAACCCTGATTTAGGAAACACCTAATAACTCATCAGCATAATTGAAAACAAAATGCTTTACTGCTTTACTGCGTTCTTCCTCTGCCTATCCCAGCCTTTTCTCCAACACACAAGGATAAATAATGTTTCAGCCCAACAAAGAGTGGATTTAAGTGCAATAAATGAAAAGAAAACCACCAAAGACCCTGATTCAGCACATAAGTACTACGAGTTCCAGCAAAGTGTATGGGAAGGCACAATAATATCCATGCACGTGTGCATTCAAATCCAGAGCCCCACACATGCAAGTACACTGGTAACATTGTCACTTTGGTGTCCTCCCCTCTTCCCATTAAATTCATCTTACAGCTTCTGACCAACTCCACGATTTAACATAGCAACCCAAGTGGACTGCAACAGGAGCCAGAAAATGCTCCTAATTCAAAATCAGAACATAATGGTTTTGTACCACTTAGAAAACAGTCCTGAATTTTATCAGATATTCGACCAAAAAAAATCATATATGAACTGAACAACAATATGGAAAACAGAAAATTCATATTTTCTACCACCCAAAATCAAAATTATTCCATTCTGCATTTCCATCTGCACCTTATCTTCTGCCATAACAGCAAACAGGCCAAAAGCTGTTGTAAATTGCTGTTATTTTTTTTCTCCATTGACACCTGAAAGTTCCTTAAAAAAGTAAGTCCAGAAAGTGAACACCACGTACCTGATCACTTATTTGACATGCAACAAGGTTGTGCTGATTGTAGCATCCAGCAAACTTGATATATTTTAGCCAGTTTCCTACATCTGGTTGACTCGCATCTATGCAGAACTTCACATTGCAAAACTCATCCAAGATCTAAAAAGAAGAATATGAAAGAGTAAATCTTTATGTGGCTGGCTGAGTATTCTAACCAAAAGATAAATCACAGGTTTCCAGATAAACAAGTGGATGATAATAATAATAATAATAATAATAATAATAATAATAATAATAATAGTAATAATATGTTTATTCATAAATATGTTTCCCTGCTGAAGGTTGTTTTTTTTTTAGGAACTGTCAGAATACACACATAATAATAAAAAGACAATAAATGTTCTGAAAAATGTCTTGACAAATATTTACATGAAATCGAAATGTTGTCTAATTATTGCAATGAAACACTATGTTAATTTAAGAGGCACCTGATTTTCTATGCATTCATCAATGCCTATGTGTGAAATTATTATTTTAACTAAATAGGATTCTATGACAGGAATATAACAAAAATTATTAAAATAGATGGTGTTGCCTTCATTTGAGGTTTCTGTTTTGTTTCAGGATTTACGTTGATTGCAGCACTCATTTAGAATTTTCATATTTGTTGCTCTGAACAAAAATTTATCTGGTAGGCAGAGTTATTTATCTTGTTTTAATATTACACTTCCCAAACAGTCCTGTGCAACACTTAAATCCCTCCCCTTAATCGAAGCAAATAACAGAACTCCTTATGTCAAAATAAAGAGAATAAATGAAAAACAATGTAAACACTTATGCAAACCATGGCAGTATTCAATACACACCAATAAATGGTTCCAATTACGCAGACAATAAACAAATATAATGAGACCGCTCGTGGACAAGCTAAAGACGATGTTCTATTCTAATATTATGACAAATTACTAATCATTACAGCGGACTGAATATCATTATTTCCAAGCTCCACCATCGGCCTATCCCAAACTCCCCACAGCCTCACAGGGAATTTAGCTGACTGCTAAATTGTAACTTCTTCGCCTTGGCACCGGCCGCAGCCACCCCATTTTAACAGCAAAATAAAGGAAACAACCTGAAACGCCCCAAACGAAAAGCGAAGGGCGAGGGAGGCTGTGCCCGCCGGGGAGCGCGTGGAGCCGCGGCCGGAGCCGGCGCTCCCCGGGAGCCCACGGAAGTCCGTGCCCGGAGCCTCGGCGGACCCTGCACGGGACGAGCTGTCCCCGCGGGAGCTGCCCCGGTCACCCCCGGGGCCGGGCTGGGCTGGGCTGGGCGTGCGGAGGGTGCGCGCAGCCCGCGGGGGCTGCCGAGCATCGCCCCGCCGCGCCCGGCTCTGCCCCCACCTCCCAAACAGAAGGTGGAAAACCTCAGAGCCAGCCCGGAGGCCCCCGAGCCCCGCAGACCCTCGAGCCCCGCAGGCCCCCGAGCCCCCCCGAGCCCCGCAGATCCCCGAGC